ACACAATTTGATGTTGGTTCTCTGTTCAACCGCTAATTTCCGATGAGCATCAGAACAGTACTGTTACATTCGAGGTCAGAACACATGATGCAGCGATGCTTGCTCTTTGAAATTATAGACAGCCCACAGTTCAAACTTCAAGAATCTTAATGCCACAACTCACCAACAGATGGCACTGGAAGGCAACATTTAAGAAAATGAGTCCTAACAGATCCTCGACACACAGTGTATGTGTTGCTAGTGCAGTCTTCCTGTATACTTATACTTTTGGCGTCTTAATGACATCTTATGATGTTAACATCGTGGCACTTTTAGCAAGAAACATATTTTAAATGTTTTTTATATTAAAAAAAATGTTGTTGCATTATTGATGGGTGTTTTGATAATAAGGATCAAGTCTAAAGCATTATCACCACAACAATCAGTGGCTGTTACCTACTTTCGTAAGACGGAAAATGGAGAGTTGTCAGCCACTTCCCATCTGTGTCCACTATGAGATTCACCTCACTAAGTTTGTAAAATAATTACTCTCATTGTCTTCCACATGTTAACTCTTCCGCACCGACATCCGTGTGCTTCACCGACCCTTTAAATAATCGTATGCCACCGACATCTGTGCAGTTCACCGACCTGCGCAGTGTTAGCTTTGAAGGACGTTGCTGACAAAACGAGGAAAGATATTCCAATTTTCTTTTCAGGAGTACATAGATTAGGGTTTCATCTTTCTATTGGTATATGAGTTATTTATTTTGGACGAATTTTTAGCACGGTATTTTTATTTTGTATCGTTAGTGTAATAGTTCGTACTTTTGTCTCACTGCGCCTAGATTTCATTGAAATTTTTCAAATTCTAAGTAAGGAAAATGTATAAAACTATATATCTTTCGACTCTATGGTCTTTGCTTGTCTATATGAGTCACTCACTGAAACCCCAGACGAAGGTTTTCCTTGAATGGGTTGCTGTACAGTCTGCTGACACAATGAAGTAGTCAAACAAGAGGGTCCTTTTTTCTTGGAACCAAATGCAACCTAAGAAAATAAACTTACGAATGATACAGAAATCTATGATGTCATAACACTTTCTTCTCTCAGTCGCGCCATAACCATGGCCTCTACAAGTAGGAAAGTTTTACAGGGCGATGAACTAGAAGAGTTCCTTGCTCACGACTCGGAAGTTAGTGAGTTCGAATATTCGGATAGTAGTGAAAACAGTGATAATGAAATTGAAGATCAGGCTGTAGTTGATGCTATCCAAGATCTTAGTATTGAAGATGACGACGAAATAGTGGCGAGGGTTCCAGTGGCGGATTCAGACGAGAGTTATTTTTGGCAAAATATGGATAATTATGATGGCGTTCGCGAACGGTTTTCTGAAAATTCAGGCCCGAGAAATCAGTCTGTCAATGTGCTCGATATAGTACAGACATTTCTATTATTTTTTACTGAGGATTTTGTGAACAATATCGTTCAGGAAACAAACACTTATGCGCAACAATTTATATGTGGGAGGGTTTTTCCATTTAGATCTCCAGCTAGGCAGTGGGTACCAGTGACACTAAATGAAATGTATGTGGTCTTAGCCTTGTTCTTGCTGATGGGTATAGTCAATAAGCCAACTCTAAATTCATACTTTTCAACGAAAAGATTACTATACACTCCAGCATTTCCTGATGTAATTTCGAGAGACAGATTCCAGCTTATATGTAAATTTCTCCATTTCAATGACAATACTAAGAAAGATAATTACCTAGGACCTACAAGACTTTTCAAAATTTTTCCTGTCATTCAACATCTCAACGAAAAATTTCAGACACTCTTCTATCCTGGACAAAATATTTGTATTGATGAATCGCTTACACTATGGAAAGGGAGATTGGCATTCAAAATGTACTTGCCACTGAAAGCTTCAAAATTCGGCATAAAAACTTATGAACTCTGTGATTCCAAATCTGGGTATTTATGGTCATTTATTGTTTACACTGGCAGCGAAACCCAACTAAATTCTTCACTGATCAGAGAAAATACCAATAAAACAACATCTGTTGTTCTACATTTGGTCGAACCGCTCCTCCATAGAGGTCATACTCTATGGATGGATAATTATTACAATTCCCCCCAGTTAGCAAAATTATTAAAAAATCATGGCACTGACTGTGTTGGGACCCTTAGGTTGAACAGAAAGGGTGTCCCAACAACTGTAAAAAACACAAAGTTGAGAAAGGGCGAGATCATAGCTCAGCACGCAGGTCCTATAACTGTTCTCAAGTGGCAAGACAAAAAACCAGTTTCCGTGATCTCTACATTTCACAATGCCGACACACAGACAGATATAAAGAGAAACAAAGAAATAAAAAAACCAAAAATTATAATTGATTATAATGAAATGATGGGTGGCGTTGATTTGAAAGATCAGCTTTTACAGTACTACAACGTGGAAAGAAAAAGACTTCATAAGTGGTACATGAAACTCTTCAGACGCCTTTTGAATGCGACAGTGGTAAATGCCATGATAATTTATAACAAGAATCAGGAAAGACTGACAGACCACTTAGCATTCAGAGTAAATCTGGTAGAAGGGTTGCTGTTGAAGTTTACGGACCAGGAGCAGGCAGCACGTAGAGTACAAGGTCGACGTCATTCATCAGATAACACCATCCCCCGGCTTCGTGAAAGACATTTTATTAGTAAAATTCCCCCATCAGGAAAAAAGGCTAGACCACAAAGGCGATGTGTAGTGTGTACAAAAAACAAAAGAAGAAAAGAAACCGTGTACTGGTGCAGTGATTGTGATGTTGGGCTATGTATTGACCAGTGTTTTCAGGATTACCACACCAAACTCAACTTTTAGCAGTTCGAGTGAGTAAAAAAATATTATTTATCATAATTATATTGAAAAATATATATATAGTTTTGTTCTTCGTTTCTTTATGAATATTTCTGTGAAAATTTTATCTCAATATACCAATTTTTGCGAGAGTTACTAAATTTTTCATGGATAAGTGCATTTTTCTGTTTAATAATTAAATACCCCGTCGGTTTGGCGGTAGGAAATGATTTAAATACTATCCGTCGCGGAAGGGTTAACAGCTCAATACCAATAACCAAGGCTGATGAACCAAACACTTCAGACTAATGTTAGGAAGGTATGAAGGGGGACCCAAAAATAACCGGAAACGACCTGTTGCGCGCGCACGCTTTGTAGTTACGAGTTGTGCTGCTAGGTGGTGTTAGCTGGGGGTCTCCCACGACTGTTAGTGAGCTGGCGTCAGTCTGAGTTAAGTGGTTTGTCTGTGGTGCTCTGTTGTGTGCGTTCCTGTTTCAACCCTTTGGCGATTAGTGAGATGGCCGACCAGAAGGAACAAAGAGTGTGCGTGAAATTTTGCTTTCTGTTAGGGAAAACTGCAGCCGAGACTGTTGGGATGCTTCGGCAAGCCTTTAATGATGATGCTTTGGGGAAATCACAGGTCTACGAGTGGTTTTCCCATTTCAAATCTGGCAACATGTCAACAGAAGATATGCCCACGCCCCGGGCATCCTTTGACAGGAAGAAATGACGAAAACATTGCCAAAATCAAACGTGCAATTGATGAAGATCGTCGAAAGACCATTGACCAACTTTCTGAGGAAACGAACATCTCATGGAGCATGGTCCAGCGAATTTTAACCGAAGGTTTGCACATGAGACGGGTGTCTGCAAAATTTGTTCCTCGCTTGCTCGGAGATGACCAAAGAGAAAACCGCGTGAATGTTTGCCGCGACTTGAAGAGTGAAGTGCAGTTTTCCCTAACAGAAAGCAAAATTTCAAGCACACTCTTTGTTTCTTCTGGTCAGCCATCTCACTAATCGCCAAAGGGTTGAAACAGGAACGCACACAACAGAGCACCACAGACAAACCACTTAACTCAGACTGACGCCAGCTCATTAACAGTCACGGGAGACCCCCAGCTAACACCACCTAGCAGCACAACTCGTAACTACAAAGCATGCATGCGCAACAGGTCGTTTCCGGTTATTTTTGTGTCCCCCCTCGTATATGGTCCAAATTTCAGCTGTTACTGGTTACTGTGGTCAAAGGCAGGTATGGGTCTCTCAAGAGGAGCACTGATGGCAATAAGTACTCTTTTTATTAAGTTGTAAACTATGCCCTCCTGCAAATAGGCTCTGCCAGCAAATCTGAACTCCCTACCTTCAAGAGACAGCCCTGGGTGAATTCCATGGTGAAAGACTGGAGCGTAGCAGATGGGAGGAAGATAAGGTGCGAATGTCTGGCACCCTAAAACAGGACTATTTGCCTAAGTGAGCAAACAATGACAAAAAAATCTGTGCTCCACCAGCAAGTTGGTGGGTTGTGCTTGAGGTTGACATCCTCATCCTGTAACAATGTTTAAAGCTAACAAGACAAATAGCCAGACACCTCACTGTATGACAACATAATTTTGAAAGGCGCTGAACATGTGGGAATGGACATATGTCTTGGAAGTGGCAAGGGCTCAAACTGGGCTGTAGAGCCATTGCTGGTGGTTACTTGCCATCTCTATTGAGGTTTCTTGCAAAACACCCCAAAATTACTCAGGTGATGACAGCCCAGGACCACCTCCAACTACATCCTTATGAGTAGATTCTAAAGGATTCTGATGATGACGAACAACACTCAGAATTACTGGGTTTTGGACTTTTTTCATCACCCAATATTCTAGAAACTAGAAAACACATTTTGGAAACTGGATCTGTTTCTGGCCTCAGGTGAGGGGGGGGGGGANTCTTTCTAAGGGCTCCAAATGAGTAATTGTCCTCCCTCCCCCAACTAAGGATGGAAAAGAATCCAGTTTCCAAAACGTGTTTTCTAGTTCACAGAATACTGAACAATGGAAAAAGCCCAAAAACCAAGTAATTTTGAGTATATCCTTACAGATGCAACATTTGTGATAATCTTACTTGTCACTGTAAAACCTCTGTAGCTGAAATGACATCATTTAATAAACTTAAAATACAAACAATACCTTTTCACTTCCAGCTGCTTGAATGTGTGTACTCGATTTGAATCGTGCTTCATTGTCTGAGTCACTTTCATCAGTTGACCAGGTATCTGCACTCTGGAGCTCTAGATAAGGCTCATCAAAATCTTCTCCGACTTCTATCACTGCAGAATCATCTAATGTTGTCAATACTGCTACTTCCTCCTTGTCTTTCTCTTCTAACATATGTTTGCTTACAGTCTGCTGAGTTGGGTCCTTCTCATGTTCCTCCTGCACTCGCATCTGTTGCTGAGGGTGTGGTTCCTTTAAGCGTATTCTTTTACCATCTGGCTTCACTGGTCCTGTTGATTCAAACTTTCGCTTTCTAGCTTCCATAAGTGCCAAATTGGAGCCACTAACTACACCATCATGTGATTTCGCAATGCTCTTTGGGCACTGTGCTGCATTTCCTTCCTCTGCTACATTTTGTAACTGTTCCTTTGATTTTCTGTTTGAATACTTTCTATCTTCCTTGCTCCTGTTCCTCTTCTGAACTCTATTTCTTTGTTCCTTCTGCTTATCTAACTGGGGTTTCAATGGCTTCTTCCCAGGTCCTGGAGGAGATGGAAGATTTCGCTGTCTACCACTACTTACTTCCTTGGAACTGTGAAGAACTGGAACAGTAGGGTTCCTGTAGTCTGCTACACGAAATCGTAATGGGGATTTGTAACGATGAATATTGTTTACTGTTCCTCGTTCTGGAGATGGACTAAGGCTAATACTCGACGACTGACTGTGACTCTTACAAAGTGGAGACCGGGAATGTACGGGACTGCAATCACGATGAATATTAGGGCCAGGGCATGTGCGTGGTGGCAACAGCGGAGAGCGTGATCTGGGTCGAATGTTATTCACTCTTGATTCTTGTAATGGTAAACGCAAGTCTCTTACAGGGGATCGCTGATTTCTGGGAGGTAGCCTGCTAAGGGGTGGTCTTCTATTTGGGGAATTCAACTGCCTCTTCTGTCTCCCATATGGAGATGGTGACCGCTGTTTGCCAGTGGGTGAAAATGAGTATCTCCGAGCAGCAGGAGAAGTCTTCTGGTTGAGAGGTTGTCTAGGTGGTGACCAAGGTGATAATTTTCGACCAGGTGGGGAATGTCTGGCTGGAAGCCTACTGAAAGGGGAATGAGAAACACGTCTTCGCAGAGAGGGTGATCGTGACATCCGTCGTTTGGGGGTGACAGGCGACCTATGATGCAATAGTCTGTTCCCTGCAGGTGATCTACTCCTAGACACAAATCTTTCAGGACTTCGAGATAATGAGCAAGAATAACGTCGTCTTGGTGGAGAAGGATTCCTTCGAGGTGGAGAATATCTTCGTGGTGGTGAGGGGTTTCTTCGCGATGGTGAAGGAGAGAGCCTTCTTCTTAGAGGTGAAACAGGCCTGCGAGGTGAGACTGAAATTCTCCTGTCTCTGGGTGATACAAAACGTTTTGGGGAAGGCGAGAAAGATGATTGCCTCAACTGTGGTGACAGGGATCTGCATGGCAAGGCCCACCGACTTGAGTCAGGTGATCTGCGTGGTGAAATACGATTTAATCGAGATGGAGACTGTCTTGGTGATATAAATCTTCGGGGTTGGGGAGAATAACTATGAGGTGAGAATCTAGAAGCATGGTTACTACTAGACTGATGCCACGGTGGAGATCTTGAGTATCTTTTTCTGGGAGATCTTGTTGACTTCAGTGGAGACCTTGACCTTGTTCTTTCCATATAAACTGGTGACCTGGACATTTGACTTCTGGGAGACCTTGGAATTCGGTTCCTCAATGGGGAGTAACTAAACCTGCTCCTTGGAGACTGAGATCCAGACCGCCAACTCTTGGGAAATGATTTACTGCAATTGTGGGGCGATCTTGATATTGACCTTGATCTCGATCTTGATCTTGCCATTTTCCTGAAAATGGGGGATAACTGCTTCTGTGGATGGGATAAACACATGCCACTAGACTTAGCATTCTTGTCTCCTTCACTGAAAATACTGTCTTTGTTGTGATTTGAACTACATGAAGAAGACACATCTGGCACATGAGCTGTTATATCCTTTGTATATTCTGAAGAACTGCTGTGTAAGAATTCTTTTGTCTTCTGGTTGCCAGAGTTTGACAAAACAGGTTCTGCTTCTGAGGTAGAAACACCTCCCTGACACTTCTGACTTTCTGAAGTATCAGAGATATTATGTTTTGATTTGGATGATGAAGTTTTCTTGTACTTCTGCAAGTCTGAACTTGATTTAATATTAGTATTTACAGGTACACTTGAGTCACTCTTGTTCATTGCCTGTTCCAGTTCATTCATCAGCTTTTCCAAACTGTCTTCTTCATCATCGGCAGCCATTATCAATACATCTGGGTCATTGTCCAACTCTGCGGCTGCTCCTGAGCCAATCGATACTTTATCACTGCCTTCATTTTCATCTTCACTTTCATCTGCTGAAGAATCTGAGTTTGTGTCGTCGTATCTGCTGAATTTGGTAGACACTGGAACAATTTTAACAATAAATTAACATTAGAATTAAGTTGATTCATAAATTACTTCAACCCTTTCATATTTACCACAAAACATATATCTGCAAGTTTTATACTACTACTACAGTCAATAATTTCGTGGACTGTGGTTTTTTCGCACCGTATAAGATACTCATATACACTTACACGTATCCACATCCTCCCTCAAAATTGTTGCTGTTGGCCACTATGCAAGTCTGCAAACATTGGTATAGCACTACTGATCAGGTCACCACAAATGCTCATCACATTGGTCTTGCATCAGGACATGTGGAATACCGTGCTAGGTAACATGAGACATATTCAGGTGATCAGACATAATTTTGTAGCAAGCACCATGGCTAATCCCTGCTGCTGCTGCAATTTCATCTACCATTTGAGAGCAGTTAGCATGCACCAACTTTGCAACTTTCGTATCTTGAGTTCCGTTCTGACCATTCTTGGCTGACTGGTATGCTCATCATCTTCCAGACTGTCATTCACCTGTGCAAAACGTTTGTGCCACTTAAATATGGCACTACGGTCCAAGGCTTCTTCACTGTACACTTGCTTGATCATCTGAAATGTTCTGCTAGTGGATTTGCCTAATTTTTGGCAGAACTTGACGTTTTCCCAGTGCTCAAACTGTGACATTCTAAACTTCCGCCGCTAACAGACTACCACCCTTCACATCAGTGACTTTCTTTCTGAAGACACTGCACACACACAACTGCTTCTTGCTGGGACGAGAGAAGAACGGACATGGCACCATCTTGTGGCTCCACGTATCCGCTGTAGTGCATAACAGTGCCACTGTGCGGCCAATTCACGAAATCATCGGCTCTTCTAAGTATATGTAATTGAATATGTGGTTAACTTAATTACTTACTTACTTATGGAGCTGAGCCCTTCTTGAGAAGCCAAATCTGCAGCTACTCAAGAATTCCCCAGCATTTTATGGAACCCTAAGGTTCATTACCGTGTTCACAAGAGCCCTCCACTGGCCCCTATCCTGAGCCAGATCAATCCAATCCATACCATCCCATCCTATCTCTCTAAGATCCATTTTAATATTGTCCACCCACCTACGCTTTGGTCTTCCCAGTGGTGTCTTTCCTTTTGGCTTTCCCACCAATATCCTATACGCATTCGTCTCCTCCATTCATGCTATATGCCCTGCCCACCTCATCCTCCTTGACTTGATCATTCTAATTATACCTGGAGAAGAGTACAAGTTATGAAGCTCCTCATTATGCAGTTTTCTCTAACCTCCTGTCACTTCATCTCTCTTCGGTCCAAACACCCTCAGTCTATGTTCCTCCCTTAATATCAGAGACCAAGTTTCACACCCATACAGAACCACTGGCAAAATTAGTTTTGTATATTCTAATTTTTATGTTTTTAACAGCAGATGAGAGTGGTTAACTGTCAACTAAAAATCATCCTCTGGTGTCAGGAAGCCCTGTAACTTCAACCAGTCAATTTACTAGGAATGTGCAAGAACAACCTTTTCAGATCAAGATGAGGCTGAGATGAAAATTTTGAAAAATCTTGAACATCAAAACAAATGATTATGCTACTTAAACAACCAAAACATTTCTTGAGATCTGAGGTTCTCATGGTTGTGAGCATCAAGATTATGGTCTTATGGGGTATGATGCCATGTCCTATGGTAAACAGATAACAACATTTCAGGTGAACTACTGTCTCCAATTTCCTTTATCCTGAGGATGGGGGGGCAACAACTTTCCCTCTAACAACGGTACCTGATTACCAGACTACATGGTGTCAATTACAGAAGACTCTAATGAAATTGCCTGCAACCTTTAGGTTCATGAAGAAAGCCGTCTTCTGGGATGTGGCGCCGTGTAGAAATTGCGTTAACTGACATTTCGGAGGAACGTATTGCCTCCATCTTCAGGGTAGAAGACAAGAAGAAACCCATGAGTGAAATAGCAGAGCAGGTGCAACAGACTGAATCCAGTCGAGCAAACACAGATGTATAAGAGAAGGAGAGGAGTGTGGCTACATAGGGAAATAGTAGAGAGGGGGAGGGGAAGGGTCTGGTGGCCCTCCCCTTCCTGGATATAGATATTTACAGGAGACCCGATGGTTCTCTGGGCCATAGAGTGTACCGCAAATCCACCCATACAAACCTCTACCTTAACGCTGTGTCCCACCACCACCCTTCCAACAAGCAAGCTGCGCTTTCCGCATTGGTGCACAGGGCTAGAGCTCTATGCGATCAAGACAATCTACATCAGGAGTTGGCACTCCTGGGCGATGTTTTCAGGCAGAACGAATACAACAACCGGCATATCCACAGAGTTCTCAACCGTTGGCCTGAAGATAAACCGGACTCAGTTGCCTTCCTGCTTTATGTCAGGACTATATTCAACCGTATTAGCATAGTGCTGTCCCGGCACATCATCAAATCAGTGGGCCTGCCTCCAAAGAAATTATCTAGTTTCCTCCGGCCAGTCAAAGATAGCCTAGGACTAAGGACACTGGGCGTATACAGTATCCCATGTGAGTGCGGCAAGGTCTATATTGGGTAGACAGGCCGTTCTGTGGACAAAAGGTTGAAGGAGCATCAGCAGCACATCCGTTTCGAACATCCAGACAAGTCAGCTATTGCTGAACATATCATCGATTTGGGACATCACATTCAGCTTCATAATACCTCCATCCTTGCTACCAAGACCCATTATATGGATCACATCATTAGGGAGGCCATTGAAATTGAACTCCATCCCAACAATATAAACAGAGAGGTAGGGTTTTGGCTCAGCAAGTCATGGAAGCCTCTCATCTGTTCCCTCAAGTAACCTCCGAAATACGGCAGACCCTATAGGCCACTCAGGTCCATTGCAGCCCCCGAGCTACAGGATTAATGCCCTCCATTTAACCTTCACTTCTCTCCCCCTAACACATACTCTATACCAGCTCTGGCCCACTACCTGCTGGCTATTCCACCAGACCCTTCCCCTCCCCATCTCTACTATTTCAATATGTAGCCACATTCCTTCTCTCCTTGTCTTATACAGCTGTGTTTACTCGACTGGATTCAGTCTGTTGCACCTGCTCTGTTGGTTCACTAGCGGATTTCTTCAGGTCTTCTACCCTGAAGATGGAGATGATACGGTCCTCCGAAACGCCGGTTAACACAATTTCTACATGGTACCACATCCCAGAAGATGGCTTTCTTCATAGTCACTGCTGTGAAAACCTCACAAGCTTTAGGTTCATGTTCACAACCAAACCTCGTTTCTTTAAAACCTATATTAATATTGTCTTCCCACTTATGCTTAGACCTCCTATGTGATCTCATCCCGAGTTTATCAACCAATGTGTGCACACACTTCTTAGTTCTTCGTACCACTACATGTCCTGTCAATCTCGTCTTTCTTGATTTAGCTACCTTAACAACATTATGTGATAGGTACAAGTTGATTTTCACTATCCTACTGATCAAAATCTGACATAATGTGTTTGTTTGTTTGCTGGTTTACTTAACGGCACTCTGAAGAAATCATTATATTGTGGCAAAGGATGGGATGGCTGATAAGTAGAAAGCAGAAAGGAAGTGGAACAAAAACAATGTGGCTAATTTTAATGTACTATCCTGGCATCTGCTTGGAAGGGCTGAAGAAAGCCACAAGAAACTGACCTCTGGGTCTACATCTGAAACTTGGACCGCTCAAATATGAAGCAGGATACCATGAATTCCTGCTATGTAAGTGAAAGTGCCACTACAGAAGTCATACCACATACCAGAAAGCATAATTCTAAATTACGTGGGGCAGTCCAAAAGTTTCCGAAATTTGAATTTTGTGCGCGAATTACATCGAAATACCACTAAGTGTCTCCTCACACATCCTTCCTGAATCAGTGTGGCAAGCGGCGTCGAGTTGAGTGGTTGGGTTTATTGTTGGTGAACGTATTTCCATTGTTGTGTTTCCGTGAGTTTGCGGTTTTGCGATGGCTGACCTGAGAGAGCAGCGTGTCTGTATAAAGTTTTGTTTCAAACTTGGGAAAACCGCTGCAGAAACGCACCAAATGTTGAAGCAAGCTTTTGGTAAATACAGTTTAGGGCAGACACAAACTTACAACTGTTATAAGTGTTTTAAAAATGGCTGAACATTGACTGATGATGACGATTGTTCGGGATGGCCGTCAACAGGCAAAACACCAGAAAATGTCGCGAAAGTTAGGGATCTGATTCTGCAACATCGTAGACTGACCATCCAAGACCTCTGTAACACCTTGGGACTAAGTTATGGTACATGTCAACGAATTTTGTCAGAGGAACTGAACATGAGGAGGATTGCGGCGAAGTTTGTGCCACGACTGCTGCAAAATGAACAGAAGCAGCATCGCTTGGAAGTCTGCAGGGAACTTCAGCAACAGCTTCAAGACGATCCAAACTTTCTTTCGAAGGTTGTCACTGGTGACGAAAGTTGGGTTTATGGCTACGACCCTGAAAGCAAGTGGCAATTGTCACAATGGAAGAGCCCTTCTTCACCTCGGCCAAAAAAAGCTCGACAAGTCAAGAGCAACATTAAGTCCATGTTGATCTGTTTTTTTGATATTGAGGGGATTGTTCATAAGGAGTTCGTCCCTCCTGGTCAGACAGTCAATAAAGAGTTCTATCGCGATATTCTAAGGTGTTTGAGGGAGAACATGAGGAGAAAACGTCCAGAGAAGTGGCGCACGAACGAATGGGTACTCCACCATGACAACACATGACCGCATACGGCTTACATTGTGCAGGAATTTTTGGCTAAAAACAAGATGGCAGTTGTTCCCCACCCACCGTACTCGCCAGACTTAGCTCCATGCAACTTCTTTCTCTTCCCCAAGATGAAAATCAAGTTGAAGGGGCGAAGATTTGATACAGTTGAGGAAATTCAAGCGGAAACGCAGACGGTACTAAACACCCTAACAAAGAAAGACTTCCAGGACGCAGAAACGTGAAAGTGGCACAAACGCTGGGATTGGTGTATGCACTCCCAAGGGGACTACTTTGAAGGTGATGGTGCAGAATAAGATCTAAGTAAGAGTAATAGTTTTTATTAATATATTTCGGGAACTTTTGGATTGCACCATATACTTTAACAACATGCATTCTAAGTTCAAAGTCACCATATCTTTCATACAGACCAAATTCAAGTATTCACTCTATTACAAAAATAATACATTTTTTTTGCACACAAAAACAGGTCTTAAAATACCAACCTGCTGGTCCAGCTAATTTATTCTCCTGGTCATTTGCTGGTTTACAGTACCGATGTTGTGGCAACCCTAGCTTAGGGCCGGTGCTGGTATCCACAATTTCAGTTCTCCCTTTTCCTACAGCATGACTGATGGAATTACCATTTCCTGGAGAAGGTTCGTTACTCACAGGGACAATTGCAATCAGATTTGAGTTGAATCGGTGTCTCCGGAAAATTGGCTAGAACAAGAGAACACATCGATTATGTACATACTGTCACGTGAATGAATGTGACTACAGATAGGGTTTGGACTGATAACCGGATTTACTGAAAACTTATAGAACATTTGGCTCTCACTTTCATCCAATTACTAGACAGCTAAGAGTATGCCTTTTTCTGATAGGGATAACACTGAGACAAAAATAAAAACTTCAAGAATCAAAATATGAATTTTCTCCACAAGACAAATACTTTCCTTGTAATCACAAAACATAACACCAGTCACATTTTACGAGGGTCGTACTGAAAGTCATTAGCAACAATTTTTTGTAAAGTAACATGCTTTATTATTGACAAACCAAATACACCACCTCAATCTACATACCTTTCTTCATTTTTCCACATAATCACCACTTCTTTGTACACATTTCTCCCAGCATTCTGGGAGTTTGAAAATTCCCCTTCTGTAAAATTCTGTTCCAGCCATCCGAAGATACTGACGCACTGCTTTCTGAATTGCCTCCCTTGTCTCAAAATGTTGTCCACGCAGCTGATCCTTCACAAATCCGAAAAGATGGTAGTCAGATGGTCAGGGCTATAGGAGGGGTGTGGAAGAATCTCCCACCCCATCTTTGCAATTGCTTCCAATGTGAGGCGAGCGGCGTGGGGGCGATTGTTGTCATGCAGGATGATGATGTTTCATCCTGGACGTTTATCGCGCAATGCACGACAGAGCTTGTGCAGCATCTGGAGATAACGAGCAGCATTGATGGTTTGCCCAGGGTCCAGGAATTCAGCCAGAATAAACCCCTCTGCATCCCAGAAGACTGTGCCCATCACCTTCACAGCTGATGGCACTGTCTTTGCCTTCTTTTTTGATGGAGAATGCAAATGGTGCCATTCCATACTCTGCCATTTCGTTTCAGGCTCGAAATGGTGAAACCAGCTTTCGTCACCTGTCACAATACAGAGCAAAACATCATTGCCTTCGTGTCGATATCTCTGCAGCAGTTCTGAGGTGATGGCTTTTCGCTGACCTTTGTGGTCTTCGGTCAATAACCGTGGGACCCAACGAGCACAAACTTTCCTATAGCCCAAGCTTTGAATCATCTCCTGTACTGCACTGCAACCTATTCCAAGTTTTCGGGCTACTGTGTCCATAGTCACACGCCTGTCATCTTCAATGATCTCATCCACTCTTTCCTTGTTGTGTTCAGTTGAGGCTGTTTGAGGATGACCGTCCCGAGGCTCATCTTCGATGCTGGTGTTCCCATCTTCAAAATGTTTCACCCATCTTCGAACACTGCTTGCACCCATGCACACACTTCCATAAGCACGCTAAAGTCTCTGGTGAATTTCTGCAGCAGGGATTTCCTCTTTCACAAGAAATCTGATGACAGCACACTGGCGAAACAACATGTTGTTGTCGGCCATTTTGTTAGGAGTGATACTGGTCACGTGATGCAAGCTATTGACGTCACAAGACCCTCAAGGTTAACACAACAGGTGGTTGCACCTACCACCGTACTCTCTTTCATCTGCTGTTCCCAGGTTGCATGCAAAATAAAAATTGCTCATGACTTTCGGTATGACCTATGTATAACATATCAAAGTATACCAAAACCTCCTTTGAAATCACATTACCAATTCAATGAAAATCTTTCATAAATTGCCATATTTCAGATATTCAGTCTATTTCACCAACACAGAATGTGGGAGAGAGCACATTTGGTCAACATGTTGTTGCCAACCATTACAAGCGTGATGAATTATGTACCCCGTATGTTACAGTGCAAAGGAAATCAGTTATCTGTAAATTCTCAGTGTCTGAGACTGAAAATCAACATTTAAATCAGGATCAAGATTTTTCCTGCTCTGATCTCAAAATTCAAGGCTCATACTTTCCTATTAGGTACTCCATCTAGGCAACTCTCTTTACACTGCCACTGGAATAAATTTGCTTCAAAATTTAATTATAATTTTCTACATTTTGTACTGATTTGTCTTGCTACCAGTGGAAATGCTTGTTGCAAATATTTTGTCATGTGTCAGTAATTATACATGGGATTTGGATTGGTAATTGGATTTATAAACTGCAACAAGTAATAATACTGGCTAATTCATGCACCAGACTTCTCACTACAGCACACACTAAGTCTTCTCAGTTGGTCTCAATTAGCAGCTGTTAGGTTATGGCTCTAACAGTGTAGATTTCTTAGCTTCAGAGTTCACACCTTTAACAGCTGTGACTGCCTCAGAGCTGATTACTCCAACTGTCAAATCTCAACTCATGAATGACTTAACCTTTCTGAGTCTGAGTCTTATGTCACAACTGACAGTCAGTTGGCCAGTGTGTCTTGGACTAAAGCATCCATCTGGGGTTTATGACCACATTTTTATTACCATCAGACAGTTTCAGGGTTGTTCACATGGGGCGCTCTCTCTGACGAGAAGATGGCTCTTTTGTTTACAACTGCTGCTGGCCTTTGCCAGTGCAGTCATTCTCTGCTCTGAGCCCCCATGGGACTCGCGATCATATTTTACTGGGTCAGATTTGAGACTTCCTTTTTCGCCACCTCCTACAACTCACAGGTCTACAGTGGATGTATTTGACCCCGTCTCTACACAGGAAACTTAACCCTTCTTATCCATCTTTGCTATATACAGCCTCAAGCTGGACTGCATAGAAAACACTATCTACAGCAATTCTTCTATTGTTGCATGTTATTCATTGTCATGCAATGGCTCACTTGTCTGACGACATAATAGTGCACTTACTGTGCCGCTGCCTTGCAGCAGATCACGTCTCTTCCTAAGGTAGTGGGTCATGTCACAAACACAGTATGAAGCTGGGCTCCAGGAATACAATCTAATAGCCAGCTGACACAATCTCTTTCCTCATCATCTATCAGCATGTTTCAGACATTTAATACTTGTCTCCATTAACTCACCCATCAATATTAAGCAACTACGTATATTTCTGCAGTCTTAACACAAGATCTGCTAAATACACATTGATTTTGCTTTAAAGGATTATACTGTTCTATAAATGTTGTGGAAGGGGATGCATACCATAGCCAGATCTTACTTGTAAGCTAGGTCCTTTATAAAATCATTTTCTTTCAATAGCTACTTACTTTTCTTCCTGGTTGGGTGCACGTTATACCACCACTAAATCCCCTCCCAAGACCAGGAACAGCACTGTGTTGTGGTTGGTGCAATTTGCTGCTGAGACTGCTTGAACTATCTGCTACTTGCTTATTACTTCTTAGAGTCTGTAAGGCTGCCAGACGAAGAGCCTCTAAGTCATCTTCATCATCATCAGGTTTCTGAAATTACAAAGCCAATTATCAATGGAAACCACAAAAAATTCCAGGAAACTGTTTTGTAGATCAAAAATGCTCCTGTGCTATTTGTAACATAATCCACATCTTACATATAATAATACTGGACATTCACATTGGAACTGGCTGGTGGATAACCTTTTGTATTTTCCTCTCTAATTTATCACACAGAAAAATGTTAAATGTATAACAATGTCAAAAAAAGGGAAAAAAACTTGGCTTCATCCATCTATAATCAGAAAATATAAAACTACAAAAGCAAACACAGTCCTCTCAATTTTCCAGGAAGGCTACAAAAATTAATAATGTTGTATTTTAGCATCCTGTTGCACTGATCTTCGTCCATGATATGTAAGCAATGTCCGTCTTTTAGTGCACTCAATTTTACTTGTCACTTCTCAACATGTTTCGGCACTACAGTGCCATCATCAGGTGCTCCATTTACATCAATCTATTTCATTGCTTGCCATTACGTCATTGTAAAATTTAAAAAGTATTTAAAAATGTTCGTCAATTATAATAAATATATATACTGAAAACTTGTTAAGATTATTTATCTTATCTGTCCCAATTCTAACACCACGCATAGTTTCACCACTATGGGAGTCGTACCCGCAACCAAACAGGGAACACGCAACATGAGACACAATATACCCTGAGAATAAGAGGAATGACTCCCATAGTGGTGAAACTATGCGTGGTGTTAGAATTGGGACAGATAAGATAAATAATCTTAACAAGTTTTCAGTATATATATTTATTATAATTGACGAACATTTTTAAATACTTTTGAAATTTTACAATGACGTAATGGCAAGCAATGAAATAGATTGACGTAAATGGAGCACCTGATGATGGCACTGTAGTGCCAAAACATGTTGTGAAGTGACAAGTAAAATTGACTGCACTAAAAGACGGACATTGCTTACATATCATGTACAAAAATTAAGTTTAATTAAAGTCAAACTTCAGAAAAATCTAAAAATAGATGAAATAAGGAGGAGGAAAGAACAGACAACTGCAGGTAAAAAATCATAATGAACAAATAGTGTTATAGGTGCCTGCAAAGTAAAAAGTAGAAAGTAAAAGTAAAGCTATCCCTGTAACAGGCTGTGAAGGCTCAAAGATGGTGATAAGGTTGTCAGCCTTATGCACCGGTCATGCTTTATTCCCCAGGAAAATTATTTAATTAATTCCTGGTACTCATTTCTGTTAGAGGCTGAAAGTACGAGGGGAAGTCAATAATTATCTGCAATGCAGCTGTATTTGTGTTTCTGTTGGCAGCACTGTCATTTTGCACAGCATCGCCAAGTGTGGTTTCCTTGTCATTATTTCTGCGCAGGTTTGATGTTGCTAGGTCAGTTCCATCGTCGCTGCCTTGCCGTTAATCATGGCTACTCCGCTTTCTGTTTGCACCAAAGAAGAGCAACGTTCAGTGATGCGGTTTTTGTGGTCGGAAGGTGTATCAGAGGCCACAATCCATCCAAGACTTTCAGCACAATACGGGAACAGTGTTTTGCTGCAACGGTCCCAAAACAACTGACAGTGTTGCACAAACAAACGCGCTTGGGCATTTGCCAACAACATTTGGATTGCTATGGTAACGAATGTGACGTCTGCTTAGACACAATCATCACTGGTAACGAAACATGGATCCATCATTGCGAGCCGGAGAGTAAACGGCAGAGTATGGAATGGAAACATCCACAATCGCCCAGCAAGAAAAAGTTCAAAAGCCAACCATCCGCAGGAATACTGATGCTTACTGTTTTTTGGGACTCACAAGGCCCAGTACTGGAACATTATCAGGAGAGGGGCACAATAATAAACAGTGCTCGTTACAGTGAGATGCTTACTGACAGGCTAAAGTCTGCAATTCGAAGCAAACGCCGAGGACTACTGTCGAAAGGTGTTGTGTTGTTGCACGACAATGCTCGTCCACATACTGCTGCCCACACTGCTGAAACCATCCGGCAACTCAAGTTTGATGTAATGGCTCATCCTCCGTATAGTCCTGATCTCGCCCCTTCTGACTACCACTTGTTTGGTCCACTCAAAGAGGGACTAAGGGGCCGTTGATTCACCTTGGACCAAGAAGTGAAGGAAGCGGTGCGGGCGTGGCTTGCTGCTCAGCCGAAAACCTTCTTTTCTGAAGGCATCAGGAAGCTCGTGATACGATGGACCAAGTGCATTGAAAGCAAGGGGACTATGTTGAAAAACGACGTTAATGTAAGTTTTCTATTTGTATTGAAATAAAATTTATAGCTACATTGCGGATAATTATTGACTTACCTATGTATGTTACATTTCTGATTAGTTTCTGAAGCAAAACAGCGGCCCCTTATGAACTGCAGTGTTTATTCCAGTAACTCCACATCAATATATTTAACTTCAAAAACACAATTTTTATCACATACTCAAATCTTATTAACCACATCGTCTCCGAATTACATTAATATGAATCATATAAATCATTATACAGAAAGTGATGACGGTATTAGCCACTTTCTACTTCTACCTTCCTACCAAAAACCAATTTAACATCTAAAGACTGAAGCGGAGTAAATCATCTAATCAGCAAAAACATGTTTACATTAAAAGAAAACAAAAACAGGAGAACCGTCAGAATCATGGTAGGTGTCAAATCCAGAAATTCAAGTAGGGGTCTATTCAAGAGATCAGGTATCTCACAGCTTCTGTGCAAATACACATTTTCATTAAGGAGCTCCACTGTTAATAACGAAGTACATTTTCAGACTAGCTCAGTTGTACACTGTTATCACAAGAAACAAGTACCATCTTCATGTACCAACTGCCAAACTCGTTTTGAGAAAAGTGCATACTATGATGGCAACAAATTTTCAACAATCTACCATCTAGCCTTGAAATTCTTGTAAATGAAAAGGCACAATTTAAATAAGCACTCCGTTGATGAATTCCTATTATCTAAAAATGACTCATAATGTTTTTTTAAGTATTCTATAAATAGCATTACTGTACAGTATTGATGTATGTGTGTGGATCAATTTGAAGCACTTGATTACCTTATAATTTTTGTTTTTCTATCCCTACACAAGAACTACCAAATCGCATTCACATTATTGTGTATAATTAGTTTATTGGTCTTAATGGTATGGCAGTGTGCTACATGTTTTGGCTTCTAAAGCCATCATCAGGTAATATACTCTAACAACTGTTCTCAAACTATTGAACTGTGTTTTATATGAATTCATATATTACAATATGGGCACGCAGTAGCATAGTTGGTCGAGGCACTAAACCCACCCCCTCCAAATAATAATAATAATAATAATAATAATAATAATAATAATAATAATGCTACAAGCCGGGAGGTCGCAGGTTTGAATCCCAATGAGGCGGATTTTTTCAATTTACCTAATCCTTCCAGACGCAATATGGCCCTGGCGTCGACTCAGCCTCTAATAGAAATGAGTACCAGGAATATTCTCGGGGGTAAAGGGCGGCCGGTGTGTAAGGCTGACAACCTTACTGCCATCTATGAGCCGATTATCTAGAAAATGTGGGAACCTCAACATATCACAACCTTATTGGTCTCCACAGTCTGTAACAGGGATACCTTTACTTTTTACTTTATATTATAATATAACACATGTTACTAATGTATCTCATTTTACACATAGTTAATATATTCAGTATTTTGTTAGAATTAATACTATTCTTGTAAATATATAAAAACTGGAATAAAAGGTTTCAATTAAATGGGTGCCTAGAGATGTGAATAAAGGCATCTATAAGAAAATAAAACAATATAAAATATTAAACGTTAAGTCATACAATACACTCAGATAATGAATTAAAATGTTGCTCGTTATGTCATATTTAATTATCTCATATTGGTATCTCTCGTATTGGTGTTCATCATTGCAATTATGATGCTACAATATGTAGTTATCTATGAGTGCTGTTTTGATTGTGGTCTAGTTTTTTGTTCTTGTTTTGAGGCAGAAAAAATAATTAAATTATTAAGTTAACACAACAGGATGCACTACCTGAAGATTGATTACCTTATGTAAAGTGCGTATATTTTATGTGAAACGTTTAAAATTGCTTCAATTGTAGTGCATATTATATTACATGTTTTTATGATCTATTCCACATTCTAAGGTAATTCCTGACTAATGGGGATCCACGGAATATATGTATGTATTGTAACCATTTGCCTACATGTTTGGCGACATCTCCTCTCTTACCGTCCTTCATGCCCCTTTGTTGCTGGTTGCAGCTGCTCCTCTAGCCGTTCCCTCTCACCTGTTGTTACTTCGAGTTTACAGGTTGCTGCTGCGTCCTTCTTGTCCAGTTCTTCCCTTTTTGTTGGTGTTGTGGACATTTAATGTTTGTGGGATATGGGTTGCATGAATGCTGGGCGCCAGTAAGCTTACTATAAAGGCTTACTTTTCAGGAAAAAGGCGGGATGAACCAGAAACTACATGTGATAGGTACTGCATTCACACTAGAGCGATGAGATTCTGTATCAGGATGCATACAGGCTTCCCGTTGGTGGGAAAGATAAGAATGTTTATAGCTAAACATTACCACACACTGTTTAATGAGCACTTTTTGATGTTCAGGTAATAGTCCTTAATCCCTTAAACAAACTTGAAATCACTCAAACTTTTGCGACTGGATCCCTTGCTAGTTATTTGGCGACTACTTTTTAGCACAACACATAGAAGTGATTACACTTTCACTTAAACTTTTAAGCCAAATTAAGATTCGCGCTAATTTTCCGTCTAATTAATTTAGCTGAGATATTTAGAGATTTTCCAGTAACACTCTTAATATAATTTTGTTTTTAAAATTGACCATGATGTGTATTTTTGCCAACCGTCTTACAGTGCACACAATTTCACATTTCTCTTCACTTTTACAACGCACACAGTCAAAAGAGAAGGACACAACACAGAGCACAATATACACATAAATGTAGGAAGAGTGCTCCCATAGAGGAGGATTGGCGTGAAATTGTGTGCACTGTAAGACGGTTAGCAAAAACACACATCATGGACATGAATCAGTGCAACAGGATGCTAAAATATAACATTTTTAAATTTGACTTCTGAACCAAGCTGCCAGTGATGCAAATTTTTCAGCCATACACTTGGAAAGTTGTTCAGAGACTCGTTTTTAGCAGACTCACTCTTCTTTGAAGCAAGAAATCTTCACAGCTTCAACTCTGCCTCCAAGTTACTATCCTAATTTCGGCTGATTGGAACAATTCGAATTTAGGGAGTTAACCACAATTTTCACTGCTCCCATCACCTAGCTTTAGTTTGGGACTTTGGACCTTAAAGTCCTAACGTCGTTTTTGACTGCTGCTTGAAAAATTATACGAGTAGTGTGGGTTGCTGGCCTTCCCACTTTTGACTTACGGGGTTCAAAACCTGTCAAGTGTAACTTTACCAAAGGATCCCGCCCGTCAAATTTCGAACTGAATTTCCAGGAAAACTCTGCAGTGTGCTTCCTGCCTGGTCTTTGTAGCAGTGAAGCAGGCCCTATTCTTGAAACCAAGAATCGGGCTAAGTCACCTTTGAATGTTCCTCATTACATCCTATGCATAATTACTATAAAAAGAAATCCTGATTACAAATAAACCTGGTGGTGTCAATGGTACGGCTACAGTATGTCTGTGTCCACTAATAAGGGTGATGCAGTACAATACTTAAATGTATAACATACATAATGCTGAGTACAACATGAATGTATGACAGGCGGTGAATCTATCTTCAATAACTATAGCTACTACATTCACTCTTTCTTGAACAATAATCTGCCTGACCAGGCTTCAGTCTTGAAAATTGTATTATATTAAACTCACATTCATGACATATCAACCTCATACGTCTTTCTCAAATATTAACTGTAAAACAATAACGCAATTGCCTATGGGATGAATGGACCATGCTTTTTATTAATGTAAATTTGCGAATATTCCACTGCAAACATAATTAGCAGAAAACCGTCATTAGCAAGAGTTTACTGAAGGTCGCAGTGCGAGGGCCGGTTTTTATGGCCCATCCTTTACATACGTACAAACAGTCATTATGCTACGAAATGTTCAACCATCCTCTGCAAACAGTACTGTTTGTGAAAGATCTAATTATGCAAACTTGGTAAAATTATGGAGCTACAAACAAATCTGAATACTATCTTCACTGGTTGCAACCTTAAAGTTATGCTAGACCGACGGTTAGTCGGCCAGTCCGTCTTTGCGACAAGAACCCACTTGGGACTTAAGAGCAGATTTTTGTTTGTCAGACAGTAGCGGGTTTGTTGATGTGGGGCGCTCTCTCTGACGGTAAGACGTGCCTGACTTTTACAATACGAGTATATTTACATTTTACATGAAGTTTTAATGCATATCTTTCCCCTAAGTAGTAACGACTCTGGTTGCATCCTGTTGTGTTTTTCAGATATATATATATATATATATATATATATATAATGATTTTAACAACTGTCCTCACATAAACAGCAGTCAATTCCGTAATCTTCCAATCTGTCTACAAAATTCATGGGTATGCAATCACAGTACTCTGCACATAAGATAATGTGTGTTCAATCAAATAATTCTTATAAGACTAGAACTTTCTGTAATTGTTTATATATATCCTAAAAACAAACAGTATATTAACTACACCAACCTTACGTAACGCCATTTTCTTCTTCACTCCTCACAACGCTCACAACTGTGACGACTCATGGAATGCTGGGTAACCTACAATTTGTTGCGAGGGAGATTACTATGGAAACCATGGAAACGGTCAACATTTGTCTGAGCTATATAGCCTTCATGATCGTTCATTTCATGATGATCCGTGGTGTACAGCAGTCGGTTTACTGTTGTAGGTGAACGTTTCCAATTGCGTTCCGGTATAGCAACCTTGGCGTATTTTTTTTTATTGCAGAAAAAATATTGTAAATACAAAAAGGGCTTTGGTAATTCCCATCCGGCTTTGTAATTTAATTTATTTCGAATTCCGGATGATCCAATAAAACTGGTTACAAACCATAGGATATAGAACATGTCAAATATTAATTAAAATATGTCAAGATAAGCAGAATATAAAAGTACAATACAATCATAAGTATAGTTCAGGTATAAGTTGAGCTCAAATAAATAATTAGAACATGTCAAAATCATAAAGCAATAAAATAAATGATATAAAAACAATACAATAAAACTATTATACAGATAGACTCATATAATACAATATAGAGTAACATACTATTCATATAAAACCATTAGTTTACATCATTCATTAACACTATAACACTCCTCCAAGTCATAAAAACAATGGGCAATCGAGTATCTTCTTAAAGAAATCTTATATTGCTTGTGTATCCCAACAATCCCCTTTATTTCAAGAGGTAGATTATTAAATAACTTTATACCTGTAAAGTAAGCACCTTTCTGGTACAGCGTTAAGGTGGAAGTTGGGAGATATAAATTACTACTCTGCCTTGTCTGGAGATTATGTGCATCATTACTAGTGGTGAAAAGTTTTCTATTCTTTGAGACAAAGAGCAAAACTGAATAAATATATTGTGACTTCAATGGTAAAATACCAAGAGCTGCCTGAAAAGATTTCTACATGAATGCCTGTTATAATATCCTGTCATTAAAGGAACTGCCTTTTTTTTGTATCATAAAGAGTTTCTTGGTATTGGTTGCCTGTCCCCAAAATACAATTCCATATGATAGTATAGAATGAAACAGAGAATGATACACTGTATTTACGCATGTATAGGCCGCACATTTTTTGCCAAAAATTCAAGAGGAAAACTGGGGTGCTGCTTATATTCGAAATCATACTTCATTTAAAAAAAATTATATTCATAATTAGTAATACAGGGTGTTCTACTCCTGAAATAATATTCCAAGAAAATTATTTTTTCTGTAATTTCTGTCTGAAAATTGTGCTGCGGCCTATACATGCGTAAATATGGTATCTTCACCAATGATGAGCCTGACATATAAGGTCTGACAGATCCTATCATAAAGCAAACTGTAGTTAGTTTGTTAATAACTGAATAAATATGTATATTCCAAGAGTGGACGTTATCAACTTCCAAACCAAGAAATGTGAGATGAAAGACTTCCACTATATCACTAATATTACAAGAAGTGGAGGCCTTGGTAGGAACAGAGTTTTTGGATATAAATTGCATAGTGAAAGTTTTCAAAAGATTGACTGATAACAAATTTGATTTAAACCATTTATCTATGATTAAAAGACTTACATTAAGTTTAGTTTCCATAATGTTGGGGATATTATCAATGACTATGAGGCTGGTATCATCAGTGAACAAGATAGATAAAGTAGAATCAGCAGTAGCTTGGGGAGATCATTAATATACAATAAGAACAGCAGAGGACCCAATACAGAGCTCTGTGATACCCCTTGCTGTATTTTAGACCAATTAGAGGTGATATTAGAAGAAGTTATCCTATCTTTCAAGCTAACGCACTGGTATCTATCCTTAAGATATTGTGAATATAATTTCTTGGACACTCCAGTGATTCCATATATTTCCAGTTTGTGGAGAAGGATGTTGTGATTTACACAATCAAAAGCTTTTTCAACATCGCAAAATAGTCCCTTGGCTGTTAGTTTGTTATTTAGTGCAGTTAAATTTGCATTTATTAAAGTACGAGGGTAATTCCAAAAGTAAGGTCTCCTATGTTTGAAAATATAAAATAAACATTTATTTTCAATTTTGGATACATCAGTTGAATCTTGAACATGTACTCATTTCTCTACATAATCGCCATTTCGGTTGATTCATTTTTGTAGGTGCAGTGGCAGTTTTTGTATGCCCATGTCTTACCAGTTCACCTCCATGCTGTTCAGGAAACTTCGAACCTCAGCTTTCACCTCATCGTCATTGTTGAAGCGCTTTCCAGACAAATGTTCTTTCAACTTTGGAAAGAGATGGTAGTCACTGGGCGCCAAGCCCGGACTATAGGGTGGATGGGTGATGATGTTCCATCCAAACTGTTGCAGTTGATAGACGGTTTGTCGGGCAGCATGGGGGCAAGCGTTATCGTGGAGAATGCTTACGCCCTTGCTCAACATCCCTCTTCTCCGGTTCTGAATCGCCCGCCTGAGTTTTCTCAGTGTCTCACAATATCTCTCAGCGTTTATTGTGGTCCCAGTTTCCATAAAGTCAACCAACAATACCCCGTTTCGATCCCAAAACACAGTTGCCATGACTTTACCGGCAGACTGTGTTTGCTTGAATTTTCGAGGCTTAGGCGAAGAGGAATGCCGCCACTGACGTGATTGTTGTTTTGTCTCAGGTGTGAAGTGGTACGCCCAGGTTTTGTCGCCTGTGACAATTGAATTCAAGAAGTTGTCCTTTTCGTCAGCATAGCGGCGAAGAAATTCACGGGAAGAGTCAACTCTCTGCCGTTTGTAGTCTTCCGTGAGCATTCGCGGGACCCATCTTGCGCACACCTTCCGATAATTCAACTTCTCTGTCAAAACCCGATAAATGGTGGTTCGGGAAACCTCGGGAACCGAAATGCAGAGATCATCAAGTGTGATGCGCCTATCCTGACGCATGACTCACTCAATCTTCGCGACTGTCTTGTCAGAAATTGACGGTCTCCCAGTTCTTTTTTCGTGTATTGCAGTACGACCAGATTCAAACTCCCTACACCACTTGCGGACATTCTTTATGTCCATGCATGACTCGCCATACACTTCCACCAATTGACGACGAATTTCAATTGGTTTAGTCCCTTTTGCGTTCAAAAACCGAATAACTGCGCGAATCTCACACTTCGCGGTTTTAGTAATCGGGAGCTCCATTTCTAACGGCAACTGTGCCAAGACTGAGCGTCCTAGCTACGTGCGCGCATGCTTGGTGGTATTGGGGGGAGTGGGGGAAGCAACTAATGCAACAGGGTTGCCAACAGCCACACAAAAAATTACCCAGCGCTTTGGAGACCTTACTTTTGGAATCAGCTACGTATATAAAGCACTGTCTATCGATAGATTTTCTTGGAAGCCGTACTGATTTGGACTAATAATAGTATGTTTCATGAGATGATTTACGAGTCTGTTATACATTACTCTCTCTACAATTCTTGAGAAGGATGTTAGTACTGAGATGGGTCTGTAGTTAGCTAATGTTGATTTATCTCCCTATTTATGTATTGACTTAACTACAGAGTATTTTAATCGATCAGGGAATACCCCACATTGTAAAATTTTATTACAAATATAACTTAATGGAGAGCTTATATATGGTGCACTGAGTTTAGTGATCCTCAGAGATTTGAATTGGGACACAACAGATGAATAATCTTAATAAGTTTTTAGTGTATATGAAAAAAATTATTATAGTTGAGAAACATTTTTTAAATACTTTTTAAATACAGTAAAACTTGGTTATAGCAACACCGGTTTCTGCGACACCTTGTCTATTGCGTCAAATATTCAATGGTACGAACTAATTCCTCATAAAGCAACTGTTTTTATACCTTGCTTAGTACGACATGCACAAATGCATCAACCTCGTATGTAACGTCATTTTCATTCCTGAATTTCTCTGATATGGACATTGAACGTAATTTAGAAAGTGTGTATTGGGCAAGTAACAGGAAACAGATGAAGATAACTGATTACTGTACTCGTATCTAGGTACAGTAAGGCACAACAATTGATGTAATCTACTGTAATTTGGTGAGTAGGCCTACCTTTAATATACAGTATTAGTGCGGTGTGTATTGTCAGTGAAAAGCGCTGTAATATGTCTTTGATATTACACATTTGGGAAATTCGACGTTAATGTTACGTTAGTCTGTACTTAACTACGTATTTCACTAAAAAAATGCAACATTTTAACTTGGTTTTTGGTAGAGTTCTACGTGACTAACATAAGGCTACTGTGGAAGTGCCCATTTCGGTTACAACGACATTCGTTTATAACGACACTATTTTTAGGTCCCTCTGATGACGTTATAACCAAGTTCTACTGTAATTTTACTATGACATATAATGGCAAGCAATGCAATAGATTAGTGTAAACGGAGCACCTGATGATGGCACTATGTTGCCGAAACATGTCGTGAAATAACAGGTGAAATTGAGTGCACTACAAGACGGACACTGCATACATATCATGGACGAAAATCAGTGCAACAGGACGCTAAAATATAACATTATCCTCAGAGATATTTGATCGTATCCACAATAATCTTTAGTTTTAAAAGCTTTAATTATTTTCTCAATTTCTTTAGGTGTGGATGGTTCATTATGAATTTTTGGGTAATTATTTAAAATTGCCTGATGCATATATGGTAAAAATTCTGTAGCAAAGCCAAGAATTAAAGACAGATTTACACTAACAAACATATACTCACATTACAGATAGAAGCTGAAATACAAGGATAGAAGGACATGCTCGAAACACCAAAACTGAGAACAATGATGATGTACGTCAAAGAGTACTATTAACATAAGTGAGCACAGTGCAGTAGAGTCATCAAAATGTGTAGTCTGAATATGGCCCTGCGAGGCCAAAACATGTAGCCCAACAGAGAATATTTGTATATATATATAAATATATTTCACATGGCTCTGAGGATGTACAATGCATTGCCCAATGAAATTAAAACAACCTTTAATAATACTGTAACGTGTTTCGTTACCGAAGACGCCGTAGAGATCGTTAATTGGTTTATTCAACAATCTACAAGTAACGGCTACAATTACTTATCACACAGTTGCGGGGTTTCACACTTTATAACCCTAATCGCAAATCAGTTCACTATCTCTTCAGTAGGCTACACGTTTACAGTAGGGGAGCTATGGATCACTGTATCACACACTCCCAATTACACAATCACACACACGTCCGGTTCTTCTTTCCGCGACGGCTGCTATACTCCAACTGTAGTCGGCTGACTGGAGAACCGTTGATAACACACTCACTCGTAGGCTTGCTCGGAGCTAACCTTGGCGATGGCCACAGCACGACTCAACTCGGCGACTGTCCACATTACAACTCTACTCGGCGACTGTTACTTTACAACTCGTCATAGCTGCTGTGCAGTTCCCTTATATAGCCGCAGTGGTGCCTGTTGCGTGACACGTCACAGGAGTTGTTGGCTGCTGCCTGGCAACCGCGATATCCCTTGGTGACGTCACCGCTGTTGACTCGCGTTGCATAGTTACCAGGTTGGGGGAGCTCGACTAACTCCGCCTCCGCTCGGCTCACTTCGGCTCCGCTCGTGACGTCACTGCGGGGAGAGTGGCGGGGTGATGACTAGCCTATTACGCGAGCGCTACGTTACCGCTACATGCCGCTGGGGAGGTAGGGGTCAACATGTCACAATATAAATAATTTTAAACATAACTTAAAGGACTTTTTGTATACTAATTCATTTTATACATTGAACGAATTTTTATTAAGAGATAATCATTGTACAAATGCATAAGTATATGAGATGCTGAGTAGAATATTTAATGACTTTAATAACTAGAATATAATTATATTATAGTTAAGCATCCTGTTGCACTATACACTTCTATATGTAATAATACAAATGCCGTATTAAAGATGAGCAGCGACAGACATACAGGGAGCCGGTACAGAATAATACATGAACAGTGCTGAAAACAAGAAATAGCCGCTGCAGCACATGTAGACAAGAGTAGGTGTCCCTGGTATTTTAAAATGTAAATTTTAGAAATTTTAAATTTTAAACTGTAATTCTAAAATCAAATTGACGAGTGTGTGTTGGCGAGATTTTAAAACAAACTGACAGGCTAATGTATTAGATTTTGGACTGTGTGCAGTGTGACAGCTACGTAGTGAAAAATACAACTGATGATGGCCAATTACGGCCAACACATGTAGTGTAGAGGAAGAAAAGACAAAGATCTACAACCAAATAAATTGTTGCATTCATGACGGCATTCGTACTATTACATATATTTTTAAAAAACTAGTACATATACACAAATATAGTATTGTCATGTGTTTGTGTATAACGCGACAAATAACTTCACGCCGTATTCGATATAGTGAATTTTATTTCACACTCGCTCTTACAATCTCACAATTACTGCCATCGGCAGTATCACAAATACTAGACTGCGGATGCTAGACTACAACTGACTGGTTGACTGACTCCCTGGCTAACTCGTAACTAACTCTTGAATAGTGTTCGCTGCTCCTTATTTAGCCCCGTTATGGACAACACAGAAAACAGTTACGTAACAGGCACCATTGTTGTGTAACGTCGTTTTTACCGACTGCCTAGGAACAGTTGTTGCACGGACTCACCGCTGTGTTTACAAAGGCGTTGCTGGGCAGTGCTGCCAGGAGTTCTTTATGGCTACGTATCAACTGCAGCGTCCCGTGTTACGTCACTGCTGGGAAAGGGGTGTCTACCGAGCGTTGCACACGGATGGAGTGGGGGTATGTGACGTCACTCGTGAGATCACAGAGTTCACGTGACCCCACCTCCCGCTACACCATCCATGTCACAATATATTTAGTAGAATGTATAGGATGAATTTATTTTATATCAAAGAACTGTATTATCAATATTTGTTATTTTATGTAAAAATATCATCTTGAATTTTTTGAAGTTTTAATGTTTAAATATTAGAGAATAACTTTATTATGACGTAAACAATTTTTGTTATAAATTATACATAGATTTTATTAGACAATTGCTTGATTGTATTAGCAAGATAATTTTACACAATTCTGTATCTAGGCTTCGGCTTCAAATGGATGTGGTGGAACAAGAAATTAAAGTTAAAGTTGAATGACATTTTAAGAACATTTTAACTGACATTTTAGTGAGCTCAATGTAAGTTTGATGTCATATAAAATAAAAAGTGTGTTGTATTATAAATGGAAGAGAGACAGCACAAGTGATACTTCAATGCAACAGGATGCTGAAAAATAATATTATCAAGAGCAATTGGCTAAGGTAAAACAAGTTAAAAGGCTTCTTGAATAGCTAGAAGAATATAAGGATGGCCTTTGCTTCTATTGTTGGTTATGTAAAACATTTTACTGAGTGCGTGGTGCTGTGTGCAGTCCACCATAGCACATCCCACACACCACCACGTACTTCACTCGATTACTATACCTTCTGATGACAGCCAATAATGGTCAAAATATGTAAAGGCCATACTTTTACTCATTCTATTAAACTAGTTACACTTCATGCGCTTCAACTGCTTATTTATGTTTTTAGAAGTGTAATGGTTCGAGATGCATCTTATGAAGTTACTGGACGGTTACGCTCATGTTTTTATGTGAGTTACAAATACAGTTATATTACATGTACACAATTCTTATTACGTGCTTTTGTATATATGCATTTCTTACTAGCAGAAACATTCAATAGAAGCATGGTTCATTCTGCACCCTCTGCTCACTCAGACTGATTTCATAGTTATTTCACTGGATCTTCAACACGAAGCTAAATGCACATTATATAATTAACTGTATAAATGTAAAGTCATTTAACATAATATTTATATGCTGAAATCCTTTTCCTGAGTTACTGCATGTTATATCGGCCAATGAAAAAAGATTCATTATAGAATGAAATTCCTAGTTTTCCCATTGAATATATACAAAAAACATGTTCATATACATGCTTTGACATTACACTCCATTTTCTAGGACTGAAAGTATGGTGTAAATTGGGATTTACCTGTATTATATAATTTAACAATGCTTGTATTGGAGTCGGGGTAGTGTAGTTGGGCCAGCTGACTACAGACTGGATGACCAAGGAGTCAGAGTTCGAGTCCTGGTAGGGTCAAGAATTTTCTCTTCTCCATGTTGTCCAGACCGGCTCTGGGGTCCACCCAACCTCCTATCCAATGGGTGCCGGGGGCTCTCTACATGGGGGGGAGGGTAAAGTGGCCAGGGCATAAAGCTAACCACTCACCTCCAGCTAATGCCGAGGTCAAGAAAATGTGGATCTACACATCCACTCCCCCATACACCTTCATGGTGTAGTGCTTAATTAGTTAAACACTGGGGCAACTTTACCTTACAATGCTTCTATACCAAACATGTCCATACTTCATACAGCAAGACAACTAACATGTCAGAATACCACACCTCACTATACACTTAATGTACATAATTTCAAAACCCATATCAGATTCGTGGTTTCTTGGGAAGTGAGCCAAATGCTGATATAACTGTTCCCTTTGTACCTGTAACACTTGTTGTTAATGATGGTTGCTGTAGCAGTCCAGCTGGTTTCAGTATATGACCAGCCTGTGTACCTCCTGCCATGTTAGCTGCCACCATTGTTCCAACCTGATCCCACTTTGACTTCCGTCGTTTAGCATCATCTTCTGCTCCTGAGCCACTACCTGGTCGCTTAGCTGTACCTGATACAAACTCAACTTTTGTTTTATCTTTCCGTTCCTTCTCACGTCGATCCATCTCTGCTTTTTGAACGCGAGCTAGTTCTTCATAAAATGATTCTTTTCCCCACCGTAAAGGGTCATAAGCGTGGGCTGGATAATTTGTCCCAAATTCATTTATACTACAAAACTGAATCAATTTCTCATAAATGCTTGGATTACGGAAATCTTTGCGCTGCTGTATCACATGATTCATGTCCAACCCATTTGATTGCATCCTTTCATACAAACGACTTATCTTGTCTTGACACAAATTTGAACAAAGGCCTGTTGGTTCTGGAGGAAGATGGACACCATCTGAAGGATCCCCTTCACTACCTACTGACTTCTGCCTTTCTTGCTCTGCACCTTCACCTGGGGTTCCTTCATCATCTGAAATAACCGTATCATCATGGTATGAGACTAACCGTGGAGGCACTACAGGAACTGGTGGTGTTGTAATATTAGATATATTGGGATCTGCGCTACTATCATCATTTGGTGATTTCTCGTTATCATCCACAACACCATCCTCTTCACCTTCAGAATCTGTGTAAGTGGCAGTAAGAGATGCAAGAGCAAAGCTCTGGCTAGACATTTTGTAACACAACTCTGTTCACAGTCTACCTCCAATGTGACTGCAGCTCTAATGACAAAAGGGCTTCAACACCAAGACACCTTTTGCAATTGTACCATATGGAAACCTGAAACGAAAAAGATACAGAAAATGATGCTCAAGAGTTACAAAGCCTGAGGGAACAAAAAAGATTCACAAAGCATTTAAAACCTTGATTTCCTTTGTGGATAATTTTACGTCGCTACCAGTATCTCCCTCATATAGCACAGCACCGAATGATTGATTGGTTAAGGACGAGCTGGAAAGGATTTTAAGGGAAGTGGTGGTTGCTTAATCGAGGAACTATCTTGGAACTTTCCTCGAGGTACTGAAGAAAATCATAAGTAACTTCCCTGAGGACAACCAGTGTGCCCTTCCGAAATTCGAGTCAAGTACTTCGTACATACAACAATGGGGCATTAGCGATACACCTACCTGCTTTACGATCTTCCATACATTAACAGGTCATTTCTCACAATTTACTTTATAATATGAAAGCCACGATTTTATACACAACTGTTTAAACTAGTTAATTCGATACCACAAACACCCACTACCACGTATACTCGTATAACTGGGCACTGGGAAACAGACTGCACATAACACAATACCAAACTTCACCAGCTCTCGAAATTAGCGTTTCGGCCGAACCGCTTCGATAGCCATTAGCAATGCTACCAACAAAGTCTCTCTTCTACTTCTGCCTGTTTTTCTTCGTGCAAAGGCGCAATCATTATAGTGAAATCGTACAACATGAATGGTACTTTAAATTCAATTCTCTTTACGCGTGTAGTAATAACTCAAAAATACGAAGTGATAATTAAATTTACCTTACTATATTGTACAGAGGCTAGACCAGTGCTTCTCAACCTTTATATGAGACCGCGGCCCAGTAAGTTCTTTTTTTATAAGACGAGGGCCCAGTCCCAACAAATTTACTCGTAAATACCGTTCCACTTTTATTAAAGTTCATGCATTAAGCTAACGTAATATTAGTACTTAATTTAGCATAATCATAAAGTATTAGTACACTTATGTATACGGTGTGGCATGTTGACAAACATAAAATTACATTTAAATTAGTTATCAATCACTGCTAATGAAATCTTGTAGCATTCTGTAGTTTCCTCAGACCAACATCATTAAATTAATTTGTGCTAATTTTCATTAACGTATCCCATGCTGATCACCAAAAACTTATGTTATTCAGCGTAAAATTGATTATTGTATTATTAAATTGATTTTAATGATGGTTTGAAGAAAAGCGGCAGTGTGAAAAATATTTATGCATTGTAACTCACCATAGAAGTCAGTTGAGTAGGGGAAGAAGCAGAAGGATGTCAACTTCCCGGCGAAACACTTATTATCACATACACACGCCAAATAATTATATATGTAAAGTATGTAATTTGATAAATAAAAATGTATGAATCTCTCAATTCTAAACATTACTTCCAACACTAATTAATATTTTGATTTTAAAGACGCAGCACTTTAAGAATACCCCCCGTGTGGAGGCGGGGCCGAATACCTCNAATATCTGGTCATGAGCCCCAGATGGGGCTCGACACCAAGATTTACTGACTGACTGGACGTCAGTTGCAATGTGACTTTGACTCTGACACCAAGAATACGGTAGTAGTAGAGTGAGTGGAGGTGGAGAGTAGTGACAGAGTTCAAGTGTTTGTCCACTGCTTGTGTGTGTGAGACTGTGGATCAGATTATTGGCAGTTAGGTGTGTGTTCGCATCGATTGTAGCTGAACAGTGAAGAGAGGAGTCTGCGACATTGGATTAGTATTTATATTCATTGTTGATAGTGCTTCTTCAAAAACTGAAGTGAGTGAACACAAGACAAGAACAGTGGTGCCAAATATGGCTGCCATCCCAGTGCTGGGATACCGGGCACATTGGACCACGAAACGTCAGACGCTAAAATCACAGTACCAGCAGCTGGTAGGCGAGTTTCCCAACGCTGGCGCACAGCTGAAACAGCTCCTTCAAGTTCTCCGCGACATCGAGGATGTGGCAGGGCACATTCCAGCTTCGGTGGGTGACAGTGAAAAGTGGCCATCCATCGTCAGCGAGGCGGACGAAAACGGCCCGAACTACTGCCAGGTCCTAACAGGGAAGACCCTGTTTAGTGCCCTGTATGGCACACACAGTTGCCTTACTGAAGTTAAAGGCCGTGCTGAAGGCGAGCAGTCAAACTGCTCAGTCCGAGGAAACTAAGTCCTCTTCAACCCAGGAGGACGGTTTCAAAGAAATCCGGCGGCGCAAGCGGCATGGTACCAATGAGGCGACCCTGACCTTGAAGAAAAAAGTGGCAGCCGCTGAAATCACGCCCCCTAAAGAGGTTACCACCCGCAACTTCTTCGGCCCCCTTAAAACATCAATGGAGACTGACAGCACTAGTGCAGAGGCCGCCACACCCGAGGAGTCAGTCTCTGGCAAAGCAGGTAGGCCGCCTCCAATAATATTGACATCATCCTTGAATCTCATACAGTTGCAAAAGAAACTGAAAGATGTGGTCAAGGACGACTTCGAGTTCCGTAGCACAAGAAACGGAACCAGAGTCGTTACGAAAGACATGGCGGATTTCGAAGCTGTCAAGTCACATTTCACCAACAGTAACCTAGCCTATTATTCCTTCTTCCCAAAATCCCAGAAGCCTGTTAAGGCAGTAATCTGACACCACCCCATCAATACCCCTGCACAGGACATTTCAGAAGGTCTGGAAAACCTGGGCTTCGCTGTTGTTAGCGTCAAGCAAACGACGACAACCCATCGATCCCAACCTGAAGAAGCAATAACCAGGAACCTTCCCTTGTTCCTGATAACCTTACAGCGGACGGCAAATCACAGGAAATATTCAATCTGCCAAGCCTTTGCCACATATCAATCAAGGTGGAGACGTATAGAGCTCAGACTGGACTTAACGCAATGTCATAACTGTCAACAGTTTGGCCACGTCTGGGCTAACTGTAAACAACCTCCACGCTGTTTGTGGTACGTAGGCGGCCACCTGCACATGGAATGCCCAGAGAAGGGAAACGCTGCTTCCACCCCAATATGCTGCAACTGCCGATTGGCAGGGGGAGACAAGCCACATCCCGCCAACTATCGGGGTTGCAGACATGCCAGGGAAGAACTGCAAAAAAGGAAGGCAAAGATAACCCCGAAAACTGCTATGGAGAGGGTGTTCTCACCGAACTTCGTCACCCCAGGTATGTTCTTCGTGGCGGCACTACGAGGCAACACAGAACCACAGCGACCACAGGCAAACCCCGCTCCAATGGCTTGCCCTACAGTAACAAAACAAAAAATGTACCGGCCCCTGCATTGCAGAAAGATACAGGTCAGTCAATTCAGGCTCCTCATGCAAATAGTCAACCTCTCGACAATATGTTGATAATTGTGACTGCAGTACAGCAGATCATGACAGAGATCAATGGTGCAGTGTCTGAAGAGGACAAAATAATGGCCATTACAAAAACTGTATTAAATCTCATGAAACGAAATGGCCACTCATAGGCCACTCAAGATCATAGCATTTAATGCGAACGGCATTTGGAGGCAGTGCTACGACCTCAGTAAACAGCTGCAAGATCTACGCGTAGATGTGGCCCCGTTTTCAGAGACCCATCTGACACCTCATGAGAGATTCTTTCTTCCAAATTACCACATTCATAGAACCGACCATCACTCAGGCAGAAAAGGCGGAACTGCTGCTGCAGTTAGGAAAGGCATCCCCCGTAACCATGTAGACCTACAACCCCTTATTTCAGTAGAAGCGACAGGGGTCTGCATACCAATTGGTAACAGTGAAGTGATGTTATATAACATCAATTTTATCTAGTTTTATATAATAACTTTTAGTTTTTTTATATACTCTGACTTACTGTATTTTTACGCAAAGTATTTTAAATGATTAATAACACTGTATCCAATCTAATGTACTGCAGTTAAATGGTATATGTTTGTTAATATGTGTTTGCCTGATGATGGCCGTTAGTGGCTGAAACATGTAGCGAAACATAGCTGGGTGCTGACCTTGATTTTTTCTGTTTGTTGTGATGGTCAATAAAGAGTTGTATCCTGCTTACAGCTCTTTACAAATCCCCAGGCAAAGCCTGGAGTGATGCTGACATCAGTGAGCTCTTAAGCTTTAGACGTAAGTCTATTTTGGCAGGTGATCTGAATGCTAAGCACCCATTTTGGAATAGCAGAGTTTCAAACCTCTCAGGCTTGAAACTCATGGATTTATTTGATATGAGTGATGTCGAAATCTCAGCACCACAGTGCCCCATTCATTATTCCCCTATGGGAAATGGTGACGTGCTGGATATTGTGGTCCACCAAAATATCCATAATTTTCGAGTAATTATGGCTGGCGATTTTAACGCCCTTGGTTTCGACTGGAAGAGTGGTTTGTCTCTGCTAGTTCCCATGATTACTCTAAACTTAAGGGAGATGCGATCTACACCTCCATGTGTCTCCTTAATCTTAACCAGTGCATTGACACTGTCGGTAGCAACAATCTACTTGATTTAATTTTTTCTAACTTAAATTACATAAATATATTATGCCTGTTGACCCTGAAAATTATCACACACCCCTTTCATTTTCAATATAAACAGTCAAGCGAAGAAAATCTAAAAGTTATTGAGCGTATAAGACCTAGCAGCTTTATACATTCGGAATATAAAAAATCAACATGATTGTGAAAATATAATTTAGAATCAAAGAAAACACCTAGGTCCTTAACACAACTGGTGCGTGTAATAGCAGTACGACAAAGCTGATACCCATAGAGCAGGACATTAGTCTTCCTTGAGTATGACATGACACGCGTTTTGTTGATATTAATACTCATGGAGTTGGTAGAGCACCAATCACTGACATGATGAATGTCATTTTGAAGTAAGAGGAAATCCTGCGGAGTGTCTATGATGTGAAAAATTTTGAGATCATCAGCAAAGATTAGAAAATGGGAATGTCTTATCACGTTACAGAGGTCATTAATGAATACATTAAAAAGAAGGGGCCCCAGGACAGAGCCTTGCGGCACCCCGGAAGTTACTCTAAGAGGCCGGGAGAGAGCATCAGACACACGGACCCGAGATCTCCTGTTAGCTAGGTAACTGCCAAGCCAGTTAAGGTATCCATCAGAAAATCCAAGGGAGCTGAGCTTATGCACTAGCAAAGTATGGGGCACGAGGTCAAAGGCACTAGAAAAATCAAAATAGACAGCATCAGCCTGATGCTGACTGCAGACAGCAGGGGTCATAATATCTAGGAAGGATACCAGATTAGTGGCTGTGGATTTGGATTTGGTGAAGCCATGCTGGTTGGGATGAAGTTTATATAATGCAAAATATGATCGTGAATAATGAATTAAAGGAGCTTAGAGAAGTTGTTGAGAAGGGTAATGGGTCTGTAGTTACTCACACAGGCAGGATTGCCTCTTTTGAATACAGGCACAATAGTTGCTTCCTTCCATGCAGTAGGGAATTGCTGCTGAGACAGGCTCAAATTGAATATATGCCTAAGTACAGGAATAAAAATTTCCGAACAGCCTTTTATGACAAACCCCGGGATAATAATATATATGACTCGCATAACAAGTCACGAGAGGGGAAGTCCTGAATTGTGCGCTTGCTACATCAGTCTGTGTTTAGCACTCGGTCCGCTAGCATCTTAGTGTCGCTTGTGATCACACATTTTTCCAAACCTGTGTTCAGACATATTATTTATGATTTTTTGTGCAAAGTTTAATAACCCTTGCAAAAATGTTCCCGAAGAAAAAGCCGCAAAAAGACAGCCATAAGAGAATAAAAATAACCGTAGAAATGAAACGTAAAGTCATTGAAA